ATGTCTACCCTTGTGAAGTCAAGTCATGTCCTCCCTGTGAAGTCAAGTCCTGTCCTCCCTGTGAAGTTAAGTCCTGTCTACCCCATGAAGTCAAGTCCTGTCTACCCTTGTGAAGTCAAGTCATGTCTACCCTTGTGAAGTCAAGTCATGTCCTCCCTGTGAAGTCAAGTCCTGTCCTCCCTGTGAAGTCAAGTCCTGTCCTCCCTGTGAAGTTAAGTCCTGCCTACCCCATGAAGTTTAGTCCTGTCTACCCTTGTGAAGTCAAGTCATGTCCTCCCTGTGAAGTCAAGTCCTGTCCTGTCCTCCCTGTGAAGTCAAGTCCTGCCTACCCTGTGATGTCAAGTCCTGCCTACCCTGTGAAGTTAAGTCATGTCCTCCCTGTGAAGTCAAGTCCTGCCTACCCTGTGAAGTTAAGTCATGCCTACCCTGTGAAGTCAAATCCTGCCAACCTAATGAAGTCAAGTCCTGTCTACCCTATGAAGTCATGTCCTGCCACCCTGTGAAGTCAAGTCATGTCCTCCCTGTGAAGTTAAGTCATGTCCTCCCTGTGAAGTCAAGTCCTGTCTACCCTGTGAAGTCAAGTCATGTCCTCCCTGTGAAGTCAAGTCCTGCCTACCCTGTGAAGTCAAGTCCTGTCCTCCCTGTGAAGTTAAGTCCTGTCTACCCTGTGAAGTTAAGTCCTGTCCTCCCTGTGAAGTCAAGTCATGTCCTCCCTGTGAAGTCAAGTCCTGCCTACCCTGTTAAGTCAAGTCCTGCCTACCCTGTGAAGTTAAGTCCTGTCCTCCCTGTGAAGTCAAGTTCTGCCTACCCTGTGAAGTTAAGTCAGGTCTACCCTGTGAAGTGAAATCCTGCCTACCTTGTAAAGTTAAATCATGCCTACCCTGTGAAGTCAAATCCTGCCAACCTAATGAAGTCAAGTCCTGTCTACCCTATGAAGTCATGTCCTGCCTACCCTGTGAAGTCAAGTCATGTCCTCCCTGTGAAGTCAAGTCCTGCCTACCCTGTGACGTCAAGTCCTGTCCTCCCTGTGAAGTGAAATCCTGCCTACCTTGTAAAGTTAAGTCCTGCCTACCCTGTGAAGTCAAATCCCGCCCACCTAATGAAGTCAAGTCCTGTCTACCCTATGAAGTCATGTCCTGCCACCCTGGGAAGTTAAATCAGGTCTACTCTGGAAGTTAAGTCCCGCCCACCTTGCGAAGTCAAGTCCTGCCCTATGTCTTAAGCCATAAACTTATTAACATCAATTTTTACCTGGAAGCAGATTCTACAATATTTGATTGACATGTTAAGTCTTGCATTATGCATGTGCATTGAGCCAATGCTTTCATATCAACAAAAATCCTAAAAAAACGAATGAAATGGCAAAAATGAGCAGGCAAATTTAAATTTGGTCCGACCGTGATGTAGATGTTCAAAAGATTCAGCAAGTCTGAACAAGCTAGCATGTCCCATTTCCAATCAAGCTTTCCTGATGATGATTGCATATCCAAAACATGTAAAAAACAGCAAAAGATAAGCTCTTGTTAAATGTTGGAATAACTTCCATTTCAAACTACCTAACCTGATGAGGGTTACATTTCTGAAACACATGTGTAAGCAGCCTTTGAGAGATTTGAACTAAAGCTAAAAATCAAACCTCAAACCAGCTGTCTTAATGAAGATTGTTCATCTAAATACATGTTCACAGCAAAATGCATGTTCAGAGTGAAAGTAGAGCACTTTGTGAATTAGATTTCAATGAGATTTCAATGAGATTTGAATTGAAAAGTGAACCTCAAGAAATGTACATTGGAAATGCATTTGTTCGCAGCTCAAGGCATCTTAGAGCGAAACAAACACATGATCACAGTGAGACACATGAAACATATGATCACAATGAACATGCCAAACACATTCACAGAAAAACACATGTTCACAGTAAAACACATGTTTACATTGAAGCACATGTTCACTGTGAAACACGTGATCACAGTGAAATACATGTTCACATTAAAGCACACGTTCACAGTGAGGCACATGTTCACATTAAAGCACACGTTCACAGTGAAGCACATGATCACATCAAAGCCCATGTTCACAGTGAGGCATATGATCACAATGAAACACATACCAAACAAATGTTTACTGTGAAACACATGTTCACAGCAAAGCATATGATCACAATGAAACACATACCAAACAAAAGTTCACCGTGAAACACATGTTCACAGCAAAGCATATGATCACAATGAAACACATACCAAACAAATGTGTACTGTGAAACACATGTTCACAGCAAAGCATATGATCACAATGAAACACATGCCAAACAAATGTTTACTGTGAAACACATGATCACAGCAAAACACATGATCACAATGAAACACATACCAAACAAAAGTTCACTGTGAAACACATGTTCACAGCAAAACACATGATCACAATGAAACACATACCAAACAAATGTTTACTGTGAAACACATGTTCACAGTGAAACATATGATCACAATGAAACACATACCAAACAAATGTTCACTGTGAAACACATGATCACAACCAAACACATAAAAACATGTTCACAGTGAAACACATGTTCACAGGAAAATAGTTGACAACCAGACACATGTCAATTTAATTTGTTTTTAATCTCTTGGCACTCGACTTTGCCATCTACTATCTGTGATAACAACTCTGATGTCCATCTCTTGAATATTATTGGCTGTTTCTATGTGAATTTCATCTCCGTCCCGCATATCAAATCGACTCATCGGCAAGTTCGCTACCAATTTCTCTTTCTCAGGAAATTCTCCATTTTCGAACATGTGGCCCAGGGCACATGGGAAATAATAAAGTCGAAAATTTCTGAAACAAAACAAAATCAAATGAGTTTTTTGAAATCGAGGTGCTTCAAAGGGTAAGGAGTGAGTTAGGTTATCTGACCCTTGATTTAAGACTAGTAACTATAGTACCCTCAAATCATAAAATAAGGGAATACCATCCTCTAAGCTCTGTGAGGGAGATTTCAAGCTAACTTTTGACAGTTGTTCAAAGCTCATAGGTTTTTATCTTCACAATGTTAAGGTATTACGAGCTTTCTCCTATACCTTGACTGCAATAGTCACTATTCTTGTATCACAAAGTTTGTTAATGCAGAAATTTGATTGGATTATATGTCAGCGAATACAACCAATCACAGAAAGTCTGTTAACATTATTGATAAGTGTTTACATACTTTCTGTCGAGGCCTCTGATTGGCTGTATTAGCTAGTGTACAATCCAATCAAATCACTGCATTTACAAACTTCAATGATCCAATTATGATCAAGAGTCTAATTAAAATTAGATCAAACTTTCGTTCCATTTTTTGTATTAGCTTTTATTTTTAATGTAGCCATTTCAGTTAGGGTCTAACGACAGCCCTCTTGAACATTCAACAAATTAACCCTTGACCTAACTGATTAAACACTGCGACACAAAATTGCCAGCGCTGAAGAGGGTACAAATTTGATTGGTTAAAGCAGACGTCATCGATTTAAATCAAAGGTTAATTTGACAAACATTCAAGAGGGCTGTCGTTAGACCCTAACAGAAGTGGCTATATTAGAAATAAAAGCGAAAGTTTGGTCTAATTTTAATGAGACTGCACAAGCAAATTTCCAAATCTTACCTTTTGGATGTCTTAAGCTCTTTAGCAACGAAAGTTCGTAGCTTATCGACGGAATCTCTCATACACAGACGTTTTTTAAAAGATTTTTTACCATTAATATAGAATTGTAGCCAGGCATATTTCTGAAAGTTTCCACCCAGGTCAATATCAACTATTTTACTTAGTTTCCCTAAAAAACATCACATATTTTGGTGAACAATTTATATATACAAACACATAAACAACAATTTTTTTACAAGGTTAATAACTTAGGTTCACAAGGATCCTTTCTACTAGCTGATCCTTGTCCAAACCTCTTGGCATTGACTTTACAAGGATAACAACTTAGGTTCACAAGGATCCTTTCTACCAGCTGATCCTTGACTAAACCTCTTGGTATTGATCTTTCCCAGATTATCTGTACCCATTTACAGCTGGTTTGACTGGAATAATGAGGTTCCTGTCTACCAGCTGGTCCTTGACCAAACCTCTTAGCATTGATCTTTCCTGGATTATCTGTTCCCATTTACAGCTGGGTTGACTGGAATAATGGAGATCCTGTCTACCAGCTGGTCCTTGACCAAACCTCTTGGAATTGATCTTTCCTGGATTATTCATACCCATTTACAGCTGGGTTGACTGGAATAATGAGGATCCTTTCTACCAGCTGGTCCTTGGCCAAACCTCTTAGCATTGATCTTTCTTGGATTATCTGTTCCCATTTACAGCTGGGTTGACTGGAATAATGGAGATCCTGTCTACCAGCTGATCCTTGGCCAATCCTCTTGACATTGATCTTTCCTAGATTATCCGTACCCATTTACAGCTGGGTTGACTGGAATAATGAGGATCCTGTCTACCAGCTGGTCCTTGACCAAACCTCTTGGTGTTGATCTTGGCCCTCCCATTCAACTAAAGATATTGTAAAGAGGTTTTCCTAAATTATTCATGTGTAGTCTATCAGGGACACTGATAACATCAATTTACACCATTCTAATTTTCAATCAGACGTTTTGCAATTCTACTAAAACTAAGTCACTAATCGCGAAGGGTCTTATGTGATAAAGCATATTTTGTGATTAGTGACGTCATCAACCACTTAGTTTTAGTGGAATTACAGGAACCACAGACGTCTGATTGAAAATTGGAATGGTATAAATTGATGCTATCAGTGTCCCTGATACACATAAAAAATTGACAAAACCTTTTTACAATCCCTTTAAACTTGCAAGTAAGAGATTCGGTTGTATGAATATATACACTTATGACCAAGTTTGAGACTTTAAATTTTATGTCCATTCTTAGTGGTAGTGTTCCTTTACAGATGGGTCCCTTATTTTCATGTAACACTTGTATGAATAGAAAGTAGAGGTGTTTTAATGACTTGGAAAAATACCAGTTTGTCTCACATGTCCATAATTAATTCATAATTAGCTAAATTAGAAGAGAATTACCAGCAGAATTCCAATGAGTGACTGATCAAGAAAGGTCAAAAAGTCTTTTTTTGTTTATCCAGACTGTACATACATGGACATTTATGATTGGTTAAAACTCTTATTAATGCAATAAGAACATAATGATATGATTAAGAATACATGATAATTCATTAGAAACACCAATTAATCAAATAGTTTGCTTAATTTGACACTAAAAAATAAGGAAACCCATCTTTAATTTGACACTAAAAAATAAGGAAACCCATCTTTAATTTGACACTAAAAAATAAGGAAACCCATCTTTATTTTGACACTAAAAAATAAGGAAACCCATCTTTAAGCCTACCATGTTTTTGTTCCAGTTCTTCATGTCTTCGTGGTTTCTCTTCGAAATCTAAATAATGTCGCAGGTAGAACCGTTCTGAGTTTTCTCTGTCCGTGGCCGATATTTCGCTTCCGTTAAACAGTTCTATATTTGGTAAACTGAAATAGGAATCAAATGAAGTTTTACACCCTATTTGTATCCTATCCTGTATGGGTAGCTGTCTGCAATGAAGCAAACTTTGAAGAATATTGCCCCCATTTCTGAGTCAAAGTCATGCAGTATGCAATAAGGGAAAATTTGAAATAAGCCATCTCTTTTTATTCTTCCACTGTTAAAGAATGTGCTCTGTGTATTAGAAATCCCATCTTTTTTCTGCTTCTTATTGGGCTATGGCTAAATGATATGTATATCAGGGACACTGATAGCATCAATTTACACCTTTCTAATTTTCAATCAGACGTCTGTGGTTCCTGCAATTCCACTAAGTGTTTGATGACTTCACAAATCGCGAAGGGCCTTGTCATATTTTGCAATTAGTGACGTCATCAAACACTTAGTTTTAGTGCAATTGCAGGAATCACAGACGTCTGATTGAAAATTGGAATGGTGTAAATTGATGATATCAGTGTCCCTGATACACATAAAAAAAATTCAGAAAACCTCTTTACAATCTACAATCTGACAAAATTCCTCTCGAAAATTCCCTTGGACCCTCAAAATTATTTGAAATACACAGGCACAAGTTTTGGACTGTTTCCATGTTTTCTGTGTGTAATAATTTTGCAAGAAATTTCCTATCTTACCTGGCTAGGTAAAGTTTCCAGCTGTCTTCATCATTGTGTTCTTTATATAAGGGAACATCCTAAAAAGTAAATATTAAAAGGGTTACACTTGTTGTCTAAAATTTTAGTTTACCAGCTGATAGAATGCAATTTCAGTTGATCATAGCACTTTTCAAAATCAAAATCCTGCATTTAATTTGGACAATCAAATAAAAACATAGGGGAAAATGGAATACATTCTAATATTTCTTGTATTTCTGTTGTAAGTTTTTATCTTATCATATGCAAACCAGATATCATATATTCATTTTAAAAAGTGTTACAGACAGCTGAAATTTAGCTATGACTTAAAGGGATTGTAAAAAGTTTTTCTAAATTTTTTATGTGTATCTGGGACACAGATAGCATCAATTTACACCATTCAAATTTTCAATCAGATGTCTGTGGTTCCTGCAATTCTACTAAAACTAAGTGTTTGATTTCACATAAGGTCCTTGTGATTAATGACGTCATCAAACACTTAGTTTTAGTGGAATTGCAGGAACCACAGACGTCTGATTGAAAATTAGAATGGCGTAAATTAATGCTATCAGTGTCCCTGATACACATAAGATATTAGGAGTTAATTCCATTTTTTAGGCAGACCATCCTGCATTGTGGCCCTTCTTACATTTCCGAGTCCTTCAGATGGCATCGCTGTAGTCCCCCTCAATTTGTCTCATACAAACTCTATGCAATTTCAAGACTAGTCGATAAGGACTAAATTTTTTTGCAGAATAAAATGATAACTTACTCTTAAACGAACTGACTTGAGGGAAGGAAATTTGGTCAGAGCTTCCAAGTGGTCCGTGTGGTGAATATGGGTTTCTGTCAGACATAGTGTGTGCAGACTCTGGAAAGGTCTGCACTCAGGTTCGTCATCAGCAGCTCTGGCTGGTTCCTCTGGTGGTAACTGTCCCGAGGCTTCTGATGGTAGCTGTTGTAAGTCTTTTGGTGCCATCTGTACGGACATCTCTGATGGCTTCTGTTCTATTGTTTCTGATGAAATCTGTCCTGTGGCTTCTGATTGGCTCTGTCCAGACATCTCTGATGGCTTCTGTTCTAAGGTTTTTGTTGGCATCTGTCCTATGGTTTCTGTTGGAATCTGTCCATCTTTTGGCATGTCTCTCACCATTTGTTCATGTACTTGAGGTGGCATCTGTCCCATTTTTTGTGGCAACTGTCCAATTTTATTTGCTTGCATCTGTCCCACCACATCATGTGGCATCTGTCCAGTTTCATCTGCTTGAATCTGTCTTGCTATTTTTGGTGACAACTGTCCAAGTGAGTTTGCCACCTGTCCCAGCGAGCTAGCAGTCTGTCCCAATGAGTTTGCCATCTGTCCTAGTGAGTTCGCCACATGTCCCAAAGAGCTCGCCACCTGTCCCAAAGAGTTGGCCATCTGTTTAGGACAGTCATCATAATCTCCATCTTCGCTCTGGAGAGAGTCATATCTGTATCTCTTGGTTCGTTTGATGGGAGACGATTTTTGATGGGCCATTTTATCAGCCACTTTGAGCAGCTCTGTAACCATGGTTTGGAATTCTTCTTCTAATTCAAGATTATTGGAAGCTTCACCTTGGTCTGTGGTCAGCACGTCTGTGGACTTTTCTTCCTCATTTTCGTCTTTGGAAGTTTGGTTCCTTGAAAGATTTGGACAGGTATGGTCTTGAACATTTCTGATTATGTTTTGTGAGCCATTTTCTGATAGTTCCTTTGATGTTTCTGAAGGTTGTTCCTTTGAGGTTAATGAAGGTTGTTCCTTTGAGGTTCCTGAAGGTTGTTCCTTTGATGTTTCTGAAGATAGTTCCTTTGACGTTTCTGAAGGTTGTTCCTTTGACGTTCCTGAAGATAGTTCCTTTGATGTTTCTGAAGGTTGTTCCTTTGAGGTTCCTGAAGACAGTTCCTTTGAAGATTCTGAAGACTGCTGGACCTTCGAACTATCTGAAGTATCACAGGAGCTTGCTACAAGATGGCTGGAATTTTGATCAGCACTTTCTACCAGAGTTTCATCACAATTTTGAACTTTTGGATCACAGTCAGCTATCGGTTCCTGGCAGTCGTCATGGTCACCAGTACAACAATTGTAGTCGAAGAATATGTCTTTGACAGGATTGCCTGACAGAATCAAAGAATGTAATTTTGGTAAGTGCCGCAGTTTCCAAACCTCTGACCACCTGAAGAAAAGGAACCATTTCATTGTTGATAAAAACCTAATTTTGTATAGTAACCTTGATACAACTTACGCTTGTTTGGATCAAATTTGATTATAACCTACTTTTGTTTATACTAACTTTGATTACAACCTACTTTTGTTTATACTAACTTTGATTACAACCTACTTTTGTTTATACTAACTTTGATTACAACCTACTTTTGTTTATACTAACTTTGATTACAACCTACTTTTGTTTATACTAACTTTGATTACAACCTACTTTTGTATATTGTTGTTGTTGGCTCGGAAACATTCAATATTTTTCAAATCATCTTTCTCCATTCCACTGAACTCTTCATAATCTGAAAGAAGATTTACAATTTTTGTTTCATGTTTTTTCTTTGGGTGACTGAACTTGCCATCCACGATCTGACATAATTGTTATGCAAAACTTGAAAAGGATCCTGGAAACTTGACTTCAAGAAGGGGTGAGGTCTAAAATTTTTATGCCAACTACCTAACTATTGGCCGAAATGCAAATTAGGACAAAGAAGGGAAGGGATTTTGGCTTTAAGACGAAAATGGGACAAGAAACTAGGGAAAAAGGGATCTTCATGCCTGGAAACTCCTTACCATTGGCAAACAAGAAGGAAGGGGTGGGATCTATCTACCACCTTGATATTGACTTTTGAGACTTTTGACAGTAAGATGGGAACTTTTAACTTAAAGAGATTGTAAAAAGGTTTTCTAAATTTTGTATGTGTATCAGGGACACTGATAACATCAATTTGTACTATTCCAATTTTCAATCAGATGTCTGTGGTTCCTGTAATTCTACTAAGACTAAGTGTTGCAAAATATGCTTGTATTACATAACGCCCTTCATAGTAAGTGACGACATCAACCACTTAGTTTTAGTGGAATTGCAGGAACCACAGACATCTGATTGAAAATTGGAATGGTACAAATTGATGCTATCAGTGTTTCTGATACACATAAAATTGTTTAGGAAGCCTCCCTTCAAAACACTTAGTTTTAGTAGAATTACAGGAACCACAGACGTCTGATTGAAAATTGGAATGGTGTAAATTGATGCTATCAGTGTCCCTGATACACATAAACCATTTAGGAACATCTTTACAATCTCTTTAAGAAACAGGGAAAAAAAGTTGTGGATCTTTCTTTTAATGGCTAAAATAAGTTGGGCAAGGAAGGGGGTGGGGTTTTGCCCTAGGGTGAACACTTACCATTATAACAGACATGTATTTCTTTTAACTCTGGTAACCTCTTAACAAACTTCAAAACATCTTTCCACCTAATAAACGTCCCATTCAGAACCAGGTTTTCTACATTACTTAGTGGTTTATCTATACCTTCCAAATAGTCCTAGAAAATAATCAAAGCAAAAGTTGCAATCTGTATCACTTATCAAAAATGAAATCTTGGTACTGATCCGTCTGTAATTTCATATATGCAGAAATGGCAGAAAAATTATCTTAATTTTGTCTTATGGTGCAATCGAAGATTTTTGTCACTGACTAAAGTCTTGCCAAGAGTTTTGCCGACTGCTGGCACACGAGGAGACAAAAATCTCCAGTCGGTCGTTTTCTAAGGTGTCGATGATCATATTTTGGATGGAAAATGAATCTGATTGGATGATGACAGGTCTGTCTTACAGACGATAAAACTATCAGAGACCATGATCAAACTTGTTTGATATTATAAATCCTGTCTGTGACACGATAATCTTGTCGTGGAAGGCACATGCGAGATTTTAAACAAGTCAAGTCAGCAACAAAAATCACCAACCAAGACTGTTCGTGTGCTGCATCTTTAAGGTAACCATGTTCTGTCAAAATTTCCCTCATTGCACACTTAATGAGATTGATTGATTTCCTTTACTTACTTGATCTGTTTGAATGGGGTTGCCTCCTAAATTGACAAACTTCAGATGAGTTAGCTGTTGGAATATAGGTAAGATTTCTTTCCAACTGGTGAGGTTGTTACCAGAAATATCCAAGTCAATGACATTAGGACAGAGTGAGGCCAGACCTTCTCTTGGTATACCAGCATACGTCAAGTTAGAGTTGCATAATACCTGTCAGAGAAAAAAAAAGTTTCATTAATTTATTCATGGGTCACTTTAGTCATTTTTATTACGTTCCATTTTTTTCTATGGGTCACTTTTATCATTTTCATTGCGTTCCATTTTTTTTCTATGGGTCACTTTTATCATTTTCATTGTGTTCCATTTTTTTTCTATGGGTCACTTTAGTCATTTTCACTGTGTTTCATTTTTTTCTATGGGTCACTTTTATCATTTTCATTGTGTTGCATTTTTTTTTCTTTGGGGTCACTTTTATCATTTCATTGTGTTTCATTTTTTTTCTTTGGGTCACTTTTATCATTTCATTGTGTTTCATTTTTTTTGTATGGGTTACTTCAGTCATCTCATTGTGTTAGGGTTATACAGGAATAGAATTCATATAAAAAGCACAGGCCTAGGTCCTGAAGTTAGAACTATATATTTTTAAGTGCTGATAGTGAATTGTTTATCATTTTTTTTTATGAGTGACATAAATCATTTTGGATTGACCTCAACTGAAAGCTTTGACACTTTGGTTTGAACTCAACTGGAAGCTTTGACACTTTGATTTGACTTCAACTGAAAGCTTTGACACTTTAATTTGACTTCAACTGAAAGCTTTGACACTTTAATTTGACCTCAACTGAAAGCTTTGACACTTTGGTTTGAACTCAATTGAAAGCTTTGACACTTTGATTTGACTTCAACTGAAAGCTTTGACACTTTAATTTGACTTCAACTGAAAGCGTTGACACTTTAATTGGACTTCAACTGAAAGCGTTGACACTTTGATTTGACTTTAACTGAAAGCTTTGACACTTTAATTGGACTTCAACTGAAAGCGTTGACACTTTGATTTGACTTTAACTGAAAGCTTTGGCACTTTAGTTTGACATCAACAGGAAGCTTTGACTCTTTGATTTGACCTCAACTAAAAGCTTTGACACTTTATTTTGACATCAACTGAAAGTTTTGACACTTTATTTTGACCTCAACTAAAAGCTTTGACACTTTGATTTGAACTCAACTGAAAGCTTTGACACTTTGATTAGACTTCAACTGAAAGCGTTGACACTTTGATTTGACTTCAACTGAAAGTTTTGACACTTTATTTTGACCTCAACTAAAAGCTTTGACACTTTGATTTGAACTCAACTGAAAGCGTTGACACTTTGATTTGACTTCAACTGAAAGCGTTGACACTTTGATTTGACTTCAACTGAAAGTTTTGACCTCAACTGAAAGCTGACACTTTGATTTGACCTCACTTTGACTTTTGCACGTCAATTATTTGAATTTACATGCAATTTCATTCAAAAAAAATTTGCAGTGACCTGTAACATAATGGGTCAAAAAACTTCCCATGTATAAAAATTAGAACAAATTCGTCTTGCGCTTACGGTTTTTTAAGACACATACCACATTTCTCAAATGGGCCAATTCAGCCTTCGCACCACCAGTTCCTGCTTTTCCATGGAAAGTTATCTGACAAGATCCGAATGTGTAGTCAGAACCGTCAAAACAATATTTTTCACGCACAGCTTCGGTGAAGGATTGAGTTGAATCATTTTCTTCGTCGTTTTGGTCTTCATTTTCCGTTTTGTTTTCGTCTTTTTCTCGGTGTAAATCCGACATTTTTTCGATGTCAACCGCCTCAAATGATTTCTCTGAATGCTTTGATTAGTTTTAGCTCCACATGAACGTTCAAAATGTCGTCTGCATTAGTTAAAGTTTATTTTTAGAATGATTACGAAATTCTTTGTCACTTTTGGCAGCCATGTTTGTTTACATGCAAGGTGATGAACCATATGGCGTCCATTTGAAAAAATAATTACTAAAATAATTTTGAAAGAATTAATTTGAGGAAAATGAATGAATAATTTCATAATTTGGCTTATTTTCTTCCCCAATATTTTTTTAATTTCAAATTTAAATTTTTGACAGACTGCAATTTTTTCTACACGGTGCATCATTTGAGAAGACTTTTGTCCAATCAGAATACAGGAAATTCTCAACTCCGCGAAAGTGGTGTGTACAACTTCCCGTTTGACGTCATCATTATAGTCAATTATCCAGACACAATTTCCAGGGGAAAAATACTGCAATCTTCTTACGTCTTGTAGATTGAGATATTCATAATTTTCAATGGCCGACTTTGATCAATTTGAGAGTGCTAATCCACCAAATATGGAAGAAGATCCAGCAGCCGACTTTTTAGCTCGTGAACAGGATGAATTAGCCGGTCTAGAAGATGATAATCCCACAGAATCTGCTCCTCAAGAAGGTAGGTTGGACTCAGAAATCGACATTTTGACGTTTTTCCGACCGGCTTTTCATTTCGTTATCATCATCATTAATATTACTGCCACGCCCACTAAATGAGGAGGCCTAATAGATAGGTTTTGCGTCCTTGTTTTCGGTTTCTGCTCAGCTGGGTCTATGCAGTATTCAATAAGGTAAATTTTGGAAGTTGAATTTGACCGACTTTTAGTGACAATTGTTATGTAAGGCAGCTGTGAACTGCCTAAATCCCGCCCTAACTACGCTACTGTGCGCAGAAAACACTTGGTCCAGTCGGTGAGGTGGTCAATTTGGCAGGGTCAACCCAAGAACCCCTGCTCCCTTAGTTTTATGTTCAAATTTTTGACTTTATTTACAGATTTCAATGCATTTGGTGAAGAACAACCAGCCTCTTCCAATCAGGTAGTTGCTTTTTGTTTATTGTTTTCTTTTCCTAAATCTTACTGATTTTTTTTAGACTAGTTTGATTCGTAAAATGGTAATATCGAAACGCTACTGTCTACTTTGACCCTAAGGACTCGTTTGTAGACAATATTTATGGTCAAATTGTGAACTTACTGTGCGTTGTGATCAGGGCTGGATAAAAAATCAGAATCGTCGCTAGGGATTTATAATTTTGATTATCGATTATCAAATTTCATTATCAATTATATGTCAAAGTTACATTTTCTCCACTGTACCTGTTAACAAGTAGTAATCTCTTCTACATAGTTTCCCTTCAGCACATAACTTACCCACAATAAACTATAATAACTGATCAAAACAAGAATATACTTCTATAACACAAAAATAACCCATGAAATTAAGAATTTTGACATGTTTTTAATTTAGTATTTACAGGGTTTCTCTTCAGCACATAACATACCCACAATAAACTATAATAACTGATCAAAACAAGAATATATTTCTATGATACAAAAATAACTCATGAAATTAAGAATTTTGTCATGTTTTTAATTTAGTATTTACAGGGTTTCTCTTCAGCACATAACATACCCGCAATAAACTATAATAACTGATCAAAACAAGAATATACTTCTGTAACACAAAAATAACTCATGAAATTAAGAATTTTGTCATGTTTTTAATTTAGTATTTACAGGGTTTCTCTTCAACACATAACATACCCACAATAAACTATAATAACTGATCAAAACAAGAATATACTTCTATGATACAAAAATAACCCATGAAATTAAGAATTCTGTCATGTTTTTAATTTAGTATTTACAGGGTTTCTCAATTAAATTATTTTGATTATTGATCGATAGTCTACCATTGATAATCCATCTTAATTTGGTAATCTATAGCCAGCCTTAGTTGTAATCGCCCAAATTTGCACTTCACGCATAGTGTAATGAAGGCCATCAGCCATTTTATTGGCTGTCATGAACTGTCTAGTCCACGCCCTACATCGAATTCACATAAAGAAAATCAGTAAAATTTAATTTACCAACAAAAGTCAGAAAAGAAAATTATGTGTTACAGCTTGCATGTTTCAGTTTCGAAAATTTAAACTTTCCAAAAATATTTTTCTTGTTGTTCATGGGCTGGATAGAGTTTTGATAGTTTTGCTTTGAATGTATTCATATTGCATGTAATTTGCCTACAATTGTAAAGAGGTTTTCTAAATTTTATAGGGGACACTGATAGCATCAATTTACACCATTTCAATTTTCAATCAGACGTCTGTGGTTCCTGCAATTCTACTAAAACTAAGTGTTTGATGACGTCACTTATCGCAAATGATTTTTTGCATATTTCACGATTAGTGACGTGTCAGATTCTTGTGGTATCCGTAAGTGCTTACGATATTTTTTGCGAAAGTCACTTCATAAAGCTTTAAGTTTTAGTGGAATTGCAGGAACCACAGATGTCTGATTGAAAATTGGAATGGTACAAATCAACGGTTCTTGTGATCATTGACATCATCAAACACTTAGTTTTGGTGAAATTGTAGGAATCACAGACATCTGATTGAAAATTAGAATGATATAAATTGATGCTATCAGTGTCCCTGATACACATAAAAAATTACGAAGACCTCTTTACAATCTCTTTAATTTGCATGTTGCATGTTCGTTGTTTGCAGGAAGATTTATTCGGAGACAGTGGATTGGAGGATCCCGCCACTGGTGATGCAGGAGGGGTTAACGGCGACTTGGATGTAAGTTCACCTTTTGGCCAATCAGATGGCTTGTTAGATATGGGGAGTGGAATTGGTGATCAATCAGGAGGCTTGTTAGATTCTGGTAACCAATCGGGTGGCTTGTTAGATATGGATTCTGGTCCAAGTGATTTTGGGGCCAGTGAACTAGCAGTGAGAATTTTTAAGTGACCCAGTCGATCCATATTCCACCTAATTCAAGCCCAAACCATTTTCCGTCTGCCTTCCAAAACGCAATGCTTGTATAATATAGCGTGCTATATAAAGGGTATCACGAGTTTTCAACACTTATCCCTTGATCTATTAGCTGATATTCACTTAATTAAAGAGGGAGTATGTTCTAGCTTCAAAATAAAAATTAAAGTGGTAAAATTCTTTCTCCTTTTGTACACTGATTTATCAATTTTTGTTTAAATTCGAGGAATTTTTAACATCAATTTGCACCATTCCCATTTTCAATCAGACGTCTGTGGTTCCTGCAATTCCACCAAAACTAAGTGTTTGATCACGTCACTAATTGCAAAATATGCTTATCACATAAGACCCTTCACGATAAATGACGTCATCAAACACTTAGTTTTAGTGGAATTGCAGGAACCACAGACGTCTGATTGAAAATTAGAATGATGTAAATTGATTCTATCAGTGTCCCTGATACACATAAAAAATTTAGAAAACCTCTTTATAATCCCTTTAACTTCAATATTCACTATAAAGTTTATTACTTTTTCAAAAAATGATTTTTTTGCTTTAACTGATCAAGAACACAGTCCCTACCACTCCATTGTTGTACAACAGCAAGAACATCAGCTTATGGATCAAGGGTTTTATACTGAAAACTCGTCTACCTTTGATAAACCAAGATGCACGCACTATATCAATCAAATTCAACTCACCAAATTATTAGACAAGAACACCTATGTCTTCACCATTGATATATCCAAAACAATGCTTGTTGCTTCAAATTGTAAGCTTGCTGTAAATCTGCAAAAAAAATATGCATGTGTTAAAATTTATAAATTTTATGTGAATTTTTGTACACTTAAAGATGGGTTCCCTTATTTTCATTTATGAAAATGAAAATGCTAATACTTATATGAATAGAAAGTAGAGGTGTTCTAATGGCTTGAAAAAATACCAGTTTGTCTCACATGTCTATAATTAATTCATATTTAGCTAAATTAGAAGAGAATTGCCAGCAGAATTCCAATGAGTGACTGATCAAGAAAGGTCAAAAAGTTTATTTGTTTATCCAGACTGTACATACTTGGACATTTATGATTGGTTAAAACTCTTAATTATATGCAATAAGAACATAATGATATGATTAAGAATACATGATTCATTAGAAACACCAATTAATCAAATAGTTTGCTTAATTTGACACTAAAAAATAAGGAAACCCATCTTTAATGGCTTCTATTTACAAGATGTCTCAAGTAATAGGGCAGAGATATTGTTTACAATAAAAAGGACTTTTTTTGTTGTCTTCCCAGGTGCTTAAATATCTTTTCCTTACTGTAGAAAATTTTTGGAATTGAATTTTAAATATCGTAACTTTTTAAATTTTTTAGTCCAATGGGCCCAGTGATGCTTACTCTGCTATATCTCAACAAGATGTCGTCCGTAGTGAGCCAGAAAAAATAAAGAAATGGAGGGAGGAGCAGAAAGAGAGATTAGAAAAGAAAGGTAAGCCATTTTTCAGCGAAGTTTTTTTCCCCCAATGTCAAGGAATTCGGAACTCCATCATATACCTTGACATCATAAGGCACTGTTCTTGTGTCTCAGAAACATGTAAATTCAGTGATTTGATTGGATGCTTCAGCCAATCAGAGCCCTCAAATCTCAGCTATATTGTTAAACAGTCTTTCTGTCAAGGTCTCTGATTGGTTGTATTTGCTAGCGTACAATCCAATCAAATTGCTGCATTTACAAACTAGAATTACAGATACAAGAATTAAGTGTCTTATAATGTCAAGGTATGAGAAGACGTTTGTAATACCTTGACATTGTGAAGATGGTTTGAAGATTATTTTAAAAAGAGTCAGGTAATTGCTTAGGCTCTCAACATGTTTTGGATACACAACCCTCACCAGCACAGCTAATATCAGAAATGCAGGTTAACTTTCTACTATACATGCGAGACTTTAGGATGTAGTAGGTAAATAAGAGAACTCTATGAACAGGAGACTATTGAATATAGAATTCTGTTTGATTGTATTGAAGATGCTGAAGAAGTTAAGAAGAAGGCTGACTGGCAGTCTGTAGCTAAGAAAGAACTTGAAGACTGGTACAAACATCATTCAGAACAACTCACTAAAACTCACAGCAATAACTTGTAAGTTTAGTCAAAATATTGGGCAAAATTGATGATGGATTGATTTTAGCACAGTTAACCTGAAGGTCTAATCCCGGCATAGGTCGAGATAATACCTTCGGTTTTTCAACCTGGTTTCCCCCTGTCAGTGATGCAGGTCAGAGGGGCTGACATGGAAAAAGCGTCTAGTCGTTCGGATGGGACGATAAACAGAGGCCTGTGTGCTGTGCACGTTAAAGATCCCTCGACAGTTGGAAAATGCTAATCCGCTGTCCTAACAAAATTACCTTCATTGTACACTGCAGGGCGTTGCCCGTCTTCACGTCTTACTTAATTTGTAAGTGTTGTCAAAATATTGGGCAAAATATATGACGGAGGCCAATCCCAGCATAGGTTGAGATAATACCTTCGGATTTTTCAACCTGGTTTCCCCCTGTCAGTGATGCAGGTCAGAGGCGTCTAGTCGTTCGGATGGGACAATAATCCGAGGCCCCGTGTGCTACAGGCTGTGCACGTTGAAGATCCCTCGACAGTTGGAAATAGAAAAAGAAGTAGGCTAATGCTGCTATCCTAACAAATTTACCCTCATCGTACACTGCAGGGAGTTGCCTGTCTTCATTAGCTCTATTAGGTACAGAAGAGTAGGATGTAAAACTCCATTCATTTGTTGTATATATGTCTGGTGTTTTATCTTACAGAGTTGCAGAGAAGGCTTTCATCAAAGAAAGAGATGAATCGGTACCAGGCCACGAATGGGAGAAAATCTGTCGCCTCTGTGAATTTAACCCTAAGGTTGTCAAATCAACTAAAGACGTCACACGCATGCGTTCCATTTTATTACAGCTGAAACAAACACCATTAGTCAAATAGTAAATCAAACTTAGCATCATTAGGGTTAAAGGCATCTAAATTTTTAGTAGCAAACCCAATTTAAGGTTCCTGTAACACTTTTTAAAATGGAAATCTAAGGTGGGGTATGTACATATGACTTCATCTAATTTTCAGTAACGAACCCAATTTAAGGTACCTGTATCACTTTTAAGAAAGGAAATCTGAGATCGGGTTAGTGTAATTAGATGACTTTATCCCTAGAATGATAATCAATGCTTAGAATTGAGAAAGTTCTTATATCGAATTTTGATTGGTCAGAAATATTTGAATGATCCAATCAAAATATCTTATGGACTTGAATTTGATTGGGTATTATTATTGCATAAGGCAATTTTGAATTTTGGTAAATATTTAAAACTTGGGTAGAATTATTTAGTATTTATAGCTGAATTATGTAGAAAATTTTCAGATTATGGGGTTATAGGACTAGCAATTTCTGTACCATCTTGTTGTCCTTTAACAAAGGTTATCCGAGTGTATCCCTTGATGCCATCAGCTAATACTCTGGTTGGAGCAAGGGTCAAAATTGAAAGACTCATAAACCTTTGTTAAAGCTTAAAGAATTAAGATCAGAAGATTTGCACTTTCGAAACAAATTATCAAATGTCACTACCATACTTGATTGATGAAAGGGTATACGAGTTGAACTCAAACCTTTCATACAGTAGCAGAGTACCCTTGAAAGTTTTTAATTTTATAGAGTCAAATGTTATAGTCAGTCAGTAAGACCCAGGGCTAGCTTTGGGCCTGGTTAAAGCATGAAACTGAGTAGATGTCTCTATCAGTCTGCAATGACTGAATATCTGTCTTTTGGTCAAAGGTTGGGTGTTGTCTGACTCGTGACCCCTTCACAAATCAAGATGGCCCCTATCCTCACTCTATTTTACTCTCATTCCATATGTATATCTATTTTATTTGTATTATGTTTATTAGCAAGACATTGAAATATGTCACTTAGAATAAATATAAACAAAATGATTTTCATTCACTTCAACCTGAAGGTGTTTATACCACTGTCCTGGCAAAATTTCCCTCATTGCATACTACTTGGCCTTGCCCATCTTCATTAGCCTAATAAAAGCGGATAGGGAACTAAGTTCAAAGATAATTAAGGTAGGTTCCTTATATATGCGATGGAAAAATATGGATCTCGCTTTTTTCGGCAACAAGCTAGGACATTTTTAACGCCAACGGAAAGGTCCATTTTCATTTTGAGGGGTGTAGAACCTTTGCGTGTGCATTCCACAGCACGTGTATAGTGTTGTTGGGTAATGCTTACCCGTGCTTAACCTTTGAAAGTTCATCTGTTTGAATTGATAACGGTATGTAGGTCAACCACGTGGTTTTCAAAATGGCGGACAACACATGAAAAAATCAACAAGGCGGTTTTAAACTAAATAAATTTCAAATTAAAATGTAATACTCATTCAATACAAATTCTATCAATTCACCATTTTCGTAATGTGTTTCCCGGAATAATTGCAGCATTTAGGCACCAATTCACACCAAAACACAAAATTCATGGTTGCTAGCCTAATGCATTCCAACCGGAAGTTGACAATGGCGGGAAAATTGACAATCCAAATATGGGTCATGGAAATGCATGACTTGCAACTTAAAGAGATTGTGAAGATATTTTCAAAATTTTCTATGTGTATCAGGGACACTTATAGAATCAATTTACACCATTCTAATTTTCAATCAGACGTCTGTGGTTCTTGGAATTCCACCAAAACTGAAGATTTTATGACGTCACTATTGCAAAATCTGCATACTATGTCTTTAGGACATGAAGTCGTAAAACACTTAGTTTTAGTAGAATTGCAGGAACCACAGACGTCTGATTGAAAAATGGAATGGTGCAAGTTGATGCTATCAGTGTCCCTAATATACTTGAAAAAGTTACAGGGAAGCTCTCTACAAGCCCTTTTATTGGTTTTATTGATGTAGCTTAATATGCCTATTGGTTGCAACTGTAGCCGATGCCATGCATTTTGGGCATAGCTCTACAGCAGGCCATTGCTTATTAAAAGCATATATTACATACCCCACACATAGGCCTACGTCCTATTTAATATACTTGCAGGGAATTCCACGCGTTTAAGGGGGGGATTACCGTTGATCGAAGTTGTGCTAGCGCCCTGTACCATAGAACAGATTCTGATGATCAAAGGGAAGTAACTACATTTAATAATATTACAGACAGACTACAGTTAATTTGTTTGTAACGCGGGGATAAAACAAACAAATATTTCACATTTTACTGCATTTTTTTTCTTTTAAAGTGTCGCATTGATTTATTTCTTTGTTTTTTTTTTACTTTAAAAAAATTGCTTAATAGTTGAGGATCCCCGGGTGACAAGTAAGCTGTAGTTGGGCGTGGTTAATATATTGATTGATAGGTGTACTATGTTGTTTTGTTGGAGTTTTTTTTTATGTATGAAGGATTTTGCATGTGCATTTGTTTTATTGTGTATGTTGAGGTTTTGTGCGTGCATAGTGTAGAGAATTTAATACAAATACAATATGATTAATGATATACTCTTACCTTCAATTTTTCTTCTTACCTTGTGGTCTCGAACTCGTATAGCTGGACAGCGATGGCGGACGAACTGTTTTACCGATCGAGCCATCGCACTTGACTGAATACTGCTTGTCGACTTAAAGGTTATATGGTTTGATTTGTACAAAGAATAATCAGCAAAAAGTGGACTGGTTAGTCCAAGTGACTGGATAACAGCGTCCCCTCGGGTTAGGTCTTCTGGTGAACACTATGTACGTGCTTTTTGCGATAGCTCAGTCAGTTAGACTGTTGATATCTTTCTTTATATTTCGGTCGTGGGTTCGAATCCCGGAGTGAGAATTGAATTTTTTGTGATCTTTAACAAATCTTTATTTATAAAGCTACATCTTCTGGTGGTCCAAGACGATCACCAGCACAACACAAAGATAAAATGAGGTCGATTGTCCGTTGGAAAAATTCTGTTCTCTTTGGAAAGAGCTCGGAATCTCGAGATAAACTCGTTATTCCGATCTCTTTCCAAAGCAGCAAGATGATATTAGTCCAGGATCGGGCCCTTGTTAAACGCTCCATTGCAGTGTGGTCTTGGTGGACGAGTGGTCAGAGAGGATGTGAAAAGTATTTTACGATGTGATGGTCGAGGGTTCGATACCCGGTAGAGTCCGGATAGATTTTTCTTGAATCTTCTTCGTGGACTATAGTCAAGTATGTTAAATTATTGACTACTTCGTCAGTCTGGGTGGCTCAGGTGGTAAGAGCGCTGGTCTGACGAGGTAGTGGTCGAGGGTTCGATTCCCACATAGAGAAAGTTCTCTGCGTATTTTTATATTATTTAAAATATAAGATTACAGTTATAATGGATACAAATTCCTCGTTTGTGTTCGACTGGATGGCTCAGTGGTAGAGCGCTGGTCAACAAAAAGCCACGGAGTGGCGAAAAGCGTGGGTTCGAATCCCATGGGTGACAGGGTCATCCTTAGTAGTTACATGCTACTAGAAAATTTGGTGGGTTCGAACCCCACAGGTGATCGCAAAGATTTTCCTTAGTGGGCTCAAAAACCACTAGAAAGTGTCCAAAATATCTGGCTAGATATTTAAAAACCGAAAGTTGGGTTTGAGTGGGAATCGAACCCGGGACGTCTAAATGATAGAAAAAAGCAAGGAGGGGATGAACAACTCTACGACCACGGCCAAAAAGCCAACCTTCAAAAATGTGTATGTAAGTAATATTTAAAGTTCAAAGTCACAGCCTACTATAGTAGTATTAAAATAGTAAGTATCTTCCACTCCTTTAGAATCTTGGAGGGTCCCGGGCACCTGCTTGCCCCTCGGCTCCCCTCCTTGACTCTCTTTCTTCCAACCTGCCACTCGTTCTATCTATTGATAGTGTCTTGCCTGCGGCAGGCCCAACGCCTCAACCCCCCCCAACTTACCTTAAGTAAGTTATATAGAATATTTTTAGGGGGGAAAGCGATAGAGAAGAGTCGAGACTAAAAGCCTCTAGAGATTTACCTGGGTTCGAACCCTCGCCGTCGAAACAGAGTTCTCACCCAAGTCCACCATCCATCCGTCTAGGCCATAGAGACCCGTTACCAAACCACGAAATTTAAGCTCTTTTAAATGATAGTGAATCTTTTATAAGTTCAAAATAGTTACTTTTATCGTTGGCCTCAACGAGATTCGATCCAGGTTCGTCTTGGTCACAAGCTACTGCTCTAACCACAGGGCTACGGCGGACACAACAAACACTGAAGAAATTAGCCTTTTTATATGTGAACTTTATATAGAAATGTTCAAAACGGTTGTATACTTCGCCCCGGAGGAGATTCGATCCAGGATCATCTAGCTCTCAGGCTATTGCTCTAACCACAGGGCTACGGCGGACACGACGAACACTGAAGAAATTAACCTTTTTATATGTGAACTTTATTATGAAATTGTCAAAACTTAGTTTTCGTTCACTGGGGTTCGAACCCACATTCATGGAGTCAGTTACCGGACACTTTATCCACTGTGCTACAGAGACGATGGATATTTGTGCAATTTTATCTATATAGCTCTAGTAACTTCCCACTAAATGTAACGTCAAAATAAATTACACGCCTTCAGCAGGGTTCGAACCCGTAGCGATTTAATCCACATCAGACCGCTCTAACCACTGAGCCACAGAGATGAATACTTCCAAGTGTTATTTAGTCTATATAGATCTAGTCTCTACTGAATATTACATAAAAATATTCTCGTCGTGGGAATCGAACCCTCGACGTTGACATCAGTTTACAGTCCGGCTGTCGAGTCGACTGAACCACTGTGACATGCACGTACGACCTAATTACAAGTGAACCACACTTTGAGATGTTTTTCCTAATATGAAAATAAAATTCTCCTGGGGTGAATCGAACCCAAAACCTTACCATAATTTAATGAGCGCTCTGGAATGGAGCGAATTGGGCTAAAGTGAGATGCACGTACGACCTACTTAACTAAACCCTACAATAGATGGCTATCATTTAAAAAAAAAATCCACCAAAAAAAAAAGAGAAAAAAAACAAAAAATAATCTTATCGTGGGAATCAAACCCACGATCTCATCCCTGAGCATCTAAAAAAAAATCGTTTTACCCACCGAGCTAAGGTGACATGCACGTACGACAGGTTTTTCAAGAAACTAAACCCTTGTTCTTAGTGTAATATCGATTTCTGTTTGATATAGACCTAAAATCTTCACAATCATTCAGCCAAGTGCGATGGCTCAATCGGTTAATGCGTTCGTTCGTTCGTCGAGGTTTATTGCGATGCGTGTTCGAATCAACAAGAAGACAAAGAAAGTAACAAGGTAAGTAAAAATTTAATTATCATTAAAAATGTTCGCGCGCACACACACACACCCTGACACACAAAAAATATACTAAAAATTAAATACAAAACCGCGCAAACTATTCTCGAACAATCTAAAAAAACTATCAAATTGTTAAAGGATATTGTTAAAAAATGTCACCTTCTTGAAAAAAATTGATACGAGTTTTTTTTTTTGTCCGTGGAAAGGATAAAAAAAAATGAAAAAAAAATAAAATAATTACTGCAATTAGTGCTATTTTTCGCCTTCAAATATCATATCGACTTCTTCGATGATTTCCAAGTAGAATGATATTTCACCTTAAACTCGCTGTATTTATCGTACCACAACATGAAATGCACGTGCGGGTTATTGGGACACTGTAAATACCAATCACTTGATGCGAATTTTCCGTGCAACATTGTTGGCAGCATTCCAAATACCTAACCAGGCGGCAATAATGAACGCAGCTAATGAGCTTGTGACGTCATAAGCCCCACCCACTTCATCAATTAACGCACAAGCATGACCAGTCAATCAATTATGCCGGCTTGATTTCATTGAAGTTATTTTTAAAAAATCTCTTTGAAGACTTCATTATTGTTACAAGGGCGTAAAACTCA